AGTCCCTGTCCTTAGTGTCAAGTGGTCTTGTGTGGGAAGAAAGAAAGTTCTATTTTTGGTCCAAAATGGAAGGTCAACCAAGAGAGTAAGTAGGAGGTGAGAAGTGATGCAGCAGTAAAGTGCAATGCCTTGTGAGGCAGACCCACACGAGAGGTTGCCAGTTTGTGTCTGGGGCCTCCTTGAGCATGCTGGACACATATATGCTCATGATCCAGGCCGACTGACACTGAGGGTGGATCGTAGATTAAGACCCTTTCAGAGGTACTGTATCTCGTTCTCTCACCCCCCTTCACCCTTTCTCTCTCTTTCTCTTGATAAATAAATACTTTTTTTTTTTGAGAAGTTTTTGCTATAGGGTGCGTGTGCTCGCCAGACAGACAGAGAGAGACAGAGAGACAGAAAGCAAGAAATCACCCCCCCAGGGGGCATGGCCACACCGCAATCCCTTCTCCTCCAAAGGTCAACCAAGAGAGTAAGTAGGAGGTGAGAAGTGATGCAGCAGTAAAGTGCAATGCCTTGTGAGGCAGACCCACACGAGAGGTTGCCAGTTTGTGTCTGGGGCCTCCTTGAGCATGCTGGACACATATATGCTCATGATCCAGGCCGACTGACACTGAGGGTGGATCGTAGATTAAGACCCTTTCAGAGGTACTGTATCTCGTTCTCTCACCCCCCTTCACCCTTTCTCTCTCTTTCTCTTGATAAATAAATACTTTTTTTTTTTGAGAAGTTTTTGCTATAGGGTGCGTGTGCTCGCCAGACAGACAGAGAGAGACAGAGAGACAGAAAGCAAGAAATCACCCCCCCAGGGGGCATGGCCACACCGCAATCCCTTCTCCTCCATTTTCCTCTCGGAGTCTTGGGCACGCACGCACACGCGCCCTGCGTTTTTTAAGCCACTGGGTCCGGGACGCGAACCACGGTCGACTACGTGGGAGTCCAGCGACATAGCCATTACACTAACTGCTGGTCCAGATAAATAAATACTTTTTAAAAAAAGATAGGTTAACAAATTTTAAAGATGCAGGGCTGGCTTGGTAGCAAAGCAGTTAAGCAATATGTATGTAAAACTGGATCCCACATGGCCGACTAGGGTTCAAATCCCAGGCCCAGTAGCTTAAAAAACATGCTAGGCACATGTGGGTAGATGCTGTAAATCCTGCCTGAATGGAGAAAATGGAGAAGGAATTATAGCATGACCAGACCCCATGGAGGGTGCTCCCTCACTTTCTCTTCTCTGGTGAGTACACATGTCCTCTGGCAATTAAAAATAATAAAGATATAGAAGTTTAGTTTTAATAATATAGGTCCTTTTTAAACCAGTGGATATCTGTGCTGATAATGAAGGATTAGAATCCGAAAGGGAAAAAGACATCAAGAGATATTTCAAAAACGAAGGCACAAGACCAGCAGATGGTGCAATGGTTACATCACTGGACTCATTGTTGACTGTGGTTTGAACCCCGGACCCGGGGGCTTAAAACTCACTCCAGGCACATATGCATGCATGGCAAAAATTCCAAGAGGAGAATAGAGAAGAAATTGTGACACGGCCATCCCCTTTTGGGGATGATTTCTCACTTTCTGTCTCTTTATCTCTCTTTCTCCAGGATGTGTATGTGCCTTATAGCAAAAAGTCTCTAAAAAATAAATAAATAAAATAAAAATAAACGCACTGGACCAATGGTTCATTAATATATTTGAATATATTTTATAGCACACATCTAATGTACAAATTTAATACAAAATACATTTAATGCAAACACAAAATACAGTTCCGATGTTTGAAAGCATGTATAATAAAAAAGAAAAGCAAATTCGTTATATATTAAAGACAATGCTTATAGCAATACAATTTCTTTTTGTTTCATATTTTCACACAAAACATTTAAAACAATTTTTTTGGCAAACCAATTTGCACACAAAATCTTAAGCACTATAAATCATATCCACAGAAAATCTCACTCTTTTTTGATTTTTTTCAGCATTATCTACTATATCTGTTTTAAACATCTGCTTTAGACTCCTCTGAAAGAGTCGTGTTGCTCCCATACCAGGGATTTCAAACCATTCAAAGGAAAGTAGAAATAAAAGATGAGTTCATGCTGATGTATAAAACCCCTCTGAAATCCAGGCATAGTTTTTGTTTCTCATAATACATACTTTCCATGAACTTATTGAAGGCCTCAGATGTTCTAACCAGACATCCAGCCTGGTGGGTTCACACTTAATCATCTGATTCTTTCTTTTCTCTGAAGGCTCATAGTCAGTGATTTGCATGAGCAGCTATTACTTTGGAGGTCATGAAGAAGGCCTGCAGTGCTGGGCCCTCCCTGGAGAGACAAGTATTTGTCTTCTGGTGTCAAAAGTAGTGCATGTCCAACAGAAGAAAACACCTTTCATCCTCCAGCATGCTTCTCCACTTATGCAAGTCCCTTCTGGTCATAACTGCCTCCCTCCCAGTTCTGTGGCTTCTAGCCCACCGCTAAATGATTGATTCACATACGAATTAATAATTACAATAATAGTAATAGCAACATTTATAAAATGTTAAGTCTGTGCGGAGAACTGCTGTTAGGTACTTTCCTTTTATTTATTCATTTAGTACCCTTGTGAGGTAGGTGTGTCTATTATCAACTCTAACTTTACAGATGAGGAAACCGATAAGACTCCTGTGATTGCAGACGTAGACAGGAAACCCAGCCCTGGGGCTCGGGATGGTCAGCCCTTCACCACCAGGCCAGGCAGCCTCCATGCTAGAGGCACGTGATGCTTCACAATGAAGCCAATGTTTCTACTTCCTTTTCCTGTTTCTCGCTATTTAATGGCTAGTGAGATCTGGTGCCCTTCCTGAAAAATATTTACATAAAATAAACAAATTAAAGCTTTCAAAGTTAAAGACCCAGGGGCAGCAGGTGGCATGGAGGTTGAGACACACGATCCCACATGGCTGACTTCACAGTTCAAGAACCAGACTGGAAGCTTAAAAAATCACCTTGGACGCATGTGGCCAAAATCCAGAGAGGAGACTGGAGCAGAAGGAATTGTGGTGTGGCCATCCCTCGGGGAGATTTCTTGCTCTGTCTCTCTGTTTCTCTGGTGAGTGCACATGCCCCATGGAAAACTAAAAAAGAAATAAAAATTAAAGACCCATAGAATTATCTGAATTGGATCATTCTAACGTGGGTAGCCCTGTAGCACTGCAGTTAAGCGCCGTGCATAGAAAACCAGATTCCTCATGGCTGACCGTGGATCTAGTCTTGGCCCTGGCAGCTTGAAAACATGCCAGGCACATGTATTGGTGCCCCAAATGCTGATAGGAGAGAGGGATGGAAGAAAAGAGATATTTATGTGACCACATCCCATCTGTGTGTGTGTGTGTGTGTGTGTGTGTGTGTGTGTGTCTGGGGAAAGTACCTGCCCACTGGCAATAAAAAAAAATAAAAAAATAAAAAAAAAAACAACAGAGAAAGAAACTCTGTTTCTCATGCAAGATAAAAGGTGTTTTAGATTCCCTTTAATCAGTTTCCTTAAGTAGGTCAACAAATAAGCAAGCTCCACACAGGACACCGAGACCTTAGTCTTGGCACAGAGGCACGGGAGGCTTTCCAAAGTTGAAGACATGCTCATGAGGGCTCCTATCTCACCGCCTATCTACAGGCAGCCCGCCAGCTCTCCCCTAGCACACTCACACACGATCCCGCACAGATGGAGGTGGCTGTTACTGGGAAGAACAGGCAGAATTCCAGAAACTCTGTCACCACCGGTTCATAGGAAATGTCATTCACTTAAAATCATCTAGTTCAAATTATTCTTCAGCATTAAAAACAGAAGTGCCCTTATCATAAAGCATGAGCTCTTTTGCATCATGTCCAGGAAGGCTCATAGTCAGTGATTTGCATGAGCAGCTATTACTTTGGAGGTCATGAAGAAGGCCTGCAGTGCTGGGCCCTCCCTGGAGAGACAAGTATTTGTCTTCTGGTGTCAAAAGTAGTGCATGTCCAACAGAAGAAAACACCTTTCATCCTCCAGCATGCTTCTCCACTTATGCAAGTCCCTTCTGGTCATAACTGCCTCCCTCCCAGTTCTGTGGCTTCTAGCCCACCGCTAAATGATTGATTCACATACGAATTAATAATTACAATAATAGTAATAGCAACATTTATAAAATGTTAAGTCTGTGCGGAGAACTGCTGTTAGGTACTTTCCTTTTATTTATTCATTTAGTACCCTTGTGAGGTAGGTGTGTCTATTATCAACTCTAACTTTACAGATGAGGAAACCGATAAGACTCCTGTGATTGCAGACGTAGACAGGAAACCCAGCCCTGGGGCTCGGGATGGTCAGCCCTTCACCACCAGGCCAGGCAGCCTCCATGCTAGAGGCACGTGATGCTTCACAATGAAGCCAATGTTTCTACTTCCTTTTCCTGTTTCTCGCTATTTAATGGCTAGTGAGATCTGGTGCCCTTCCTGAAAAATATTTACATAAAATAAACAAATTAAAGCTTTCAAAGTTAAAGACCCAGGGGCAGCAGGTGGCATGGAGGTTGAGACACACGATCCCACATGGCTGACTTCACAGTTCAAGAACCAGACTGGAAGCTTAAAAAATCACCTTGGACGCATGTGGCCAAAATCCAGAGAGGAGACTGGAGCAGAAGGAATTGTGGTGTGGCCATCCCTCGGGGAGATTTCTTGCTCTGTCTCTCTGTTTCTCTGGTGAGTGCACATGCCCCATGGAAAACTAAAAAAGAAATAAAAATTAAAGACCCATAGAATTATCTGAATTGGATCATTCTAACGTGGGTAGCCCTGTAGCACTGCAGTTAAGCGCCGTGCATAGAAAACCAGATTCCTCATGGCTGACCGTGGATCTAGTCTTGGCCCTGGCAGCTTGAAAACATGCCAGGCACATGTATTGGTGCCCCAAATGCTGATAGGAGAGAGGGATGGAAGAAAAGAGATATTTATGTGACCACATCCCATCTGTGTGTGTGTGTGTGTGTGTGTGTGTGTGTGTGTGTCTGGGGAAAGTACCTGCCCACTGGCAATAAAAAAAAATAAAAAAATAAAAAAAAAAACAACAGAGAAAGAAACTCTGTTTCTCATGCAAGATAAAAGGTGTTTTAGATTCCCTTTAATCAGTTTCCTTAAGTAGGTCAACAAATAAGCAAGCTCCACACAGGACACCGAGACCTTAGTCTTGGCACAGAGGCACGGGAGGCTTTCCAAAGTTGAAGACATGCTCATGAGGGCTCCTATCTCACCGCCTATCTACAGGCAGCCCGCCAGCTCTCCCCTAGCACACTCACACACGATCCCGCACAGATGGAGGTGGCTGTTACTGGGAAGAACAGGCAGAATTCCAGAAACTCTGTCACCACCGGTTCATAGGAAATGTCATTCACTTAAAATCATCTAGTTCAAATTATTCTTCAGCATTAAAAACAGAAGTGCCCTTATCATAAAGCATGAGCTCTTTTGCATCATGTCCAGTCCAAAATTTGTGGAAAACTGGATTAAATTTCAGCAGCTGCATCCAGTTACAGACAAGGGAGAAAGAGGAGTTCTACTTCTTAACTCCCGGGTCTTCTGGGAACACACGACCACAGCTCAGTGTTCAGTTGTGACCCTGGGGATCTGCTGACCAATTTCATCTTCAGACTGTGAGTAGGAGTTTCATAGAGTTAAATACTTTGAAGGATAGCCTTTATGAACAGGCTCATACACTCAAGGCCTAGGAAACCTCGAGTTCTTTCTGACACTCAGTTTGTCTGAGGGGAAGGATGCTAAAAGAATGGGAACGATTCCTGATTACTTTCTACCTGGCTTGACAGCTTTTGCAGGCATCAAGTAAAGAAGGTTCTTCCAGAACCTTGAGTTATAAGACAGAGATTTCTCAGCCTTCCACTTCAGAACTCTGTGAGACTTCAGAAGCTCGAGTGATTGGGGTAAGAATGCGAGGTCGCTCACGGGTGTAAATTCGATGAGGATTATTTTAATTTTCCGTTCCACCAGCGCTTCATGGAGTCCAGTCTCGAGTTCATACCTGACTTCATTAGACATGTAACTTTTACTCAGGACAATGATGAGTCTCCGGCTTTTCTCTATCAAGGAATGAATTTCATCCACGACAGCTGACAACGCAAGATGTGCCATATTAATTTAGGAGAACCAAACGGTGGCCCCAAGATAAACATCATTTCACGTGGTGCGTTTTATGTTACTCAACTTTTAACCCCACGAATAAGTTTTTCTTTCAGACAAACCAGTTTTATGTGTCAATTAAAAAATGATCATTTAAGGGACCAGCAGATGACATAATGGCTATGTCGCTGGACTCCCATGTAGTCGAACACAGTTTGCATCCCAGACCTGGTGGCATAAAATCATGCAGGCATCTGTGTGTGCGTGCCCAAGATCCCAAGAGGAGAATGGAGGAGAAGGGATTGTGGCGTGGCCATCCCCCCGGGGGGTGTTTTCTCACTTTCTGTCTCTGTCTCTGTCTGTCTTTCTGGTGAGCACACGCGCCCTAGAGCAAAAACCTCTAAAACAGAACAAAACAAGATCAGTTAAGTAGCACTAATGCACATCTGTACCACACCCTTCTTTAACAAGATCAGTTAAGTAGCACTAATGCACATCTGTACCACACCCTTCTTTTAGACTGTTGACACACGTTAGCTCATTTCATTGCCATGAGGACCCTATGAAGAGTGTTATCACCTCCATTTGATAGCACAGAATGGTTTAGTAACTAGCCCAGAGTCGCATAGCTAGTAAGAGCCAGAACCAGAATCTGAACCTGGTGGAATACATTTTCCAAACACTCTCCTATGCTGCCTCTTCACCTACATGGAGGGACACGCTGAAGTTAGGATTAAGGATTTAAAAAGAAATGAAAAATGAACCGACACTATCTGTTATTTTAGACGAGGGGCTGACAAACATTTTCTGTAAAGGGCCAGGTAAATAAATATACGGGGTTTTGCGCAGCTACTTACTCTACCACTGAAGCTGGAAACTAGTCATAAATAACATGGGGACAAACGTGTAACTGGGTGAGAGTGAGAGGTCGCCCACAGGTGAGAATTCAGGGAGGATTATTTGAATGTTCCTTTCTGGAGGAGTCCGACCCGGTGAGGCCCCAGGATCTGTCTGAGCCCCCAGACCTTTGAGCTCTGCTTTTGGTCGGATCAACACGTTGGCAAGGCTACTGTTGTGCACCCCCCGACCTTGGAACAAAGCTTGGGTCAGTTAGCATGTTAGCAAGGCTGCTTGCTATTTGCTCCAGAGAATTGAGGCAGCCTCACTGGGAAGCGACCCCCTTCTGACTCCCCAATTTACTACTATGAAAGAATTGCATAGCTCTCCTATACATTCTGAGTATATGATAAAATTTTCCAGGAAGTCCCCCAACCAGACAGCTCCCCTTTGCTCTGATTACTTACTATTAATTACAATGCTTTACCTCCATGGTCACAATAGAGGGTGGGCTGAAGATCTGCCGGGGTCCAGCCTCGGCACCTTTCCACCATTGTACGGGAGAGCTGCCTCTCACTAAGGCCAGACTGGACCCAGGGGCGGTACTTGCTAGACTCTGGCCCTTCCCCATTAGAGGTTGGTCCGTAGGTAGTCAGACTATTGAAGATATGAACACGAGGCCGGAGACACCAGTAGGAAGGCATCCCGCAGCTCACTCATGGGTTTCCGGGGTTGCAGCCAGACCCCTGGCTCCAACAAGGGGAAAGAAAGGTGATCCGACTTTCACAGCCTACACTGGCATTAGAGGACCTGGAAAATGTAACCTTCTTGCGCTTGCACTGCAGTGCGCGTGCACACAGGTACCATCCCTGCTGCTTGGTCAACATCCCGCCTCCCACTGGGGCGCTGGCCCGGTCTGGGCAAAACCGTCCCTGTGCGCATGCTCGCGCCTCAAAGCCCACGCTGGGCATGCCTACCACTGCCCCCTCCAGGACGCTGGAGTGCCCCTTACCAGACAGGAAGTCCACAGGTGCAGTAATGGCCCGCAAAACAGAGACAGCGGCAGACCTCCCCTCCTAAATATTCGTGGCAAGACCCCACCATGAAAGGAACAGCTACCCCATTCCTGTGGCGGTTGTGACTGACACACCGTCCGCTCAGACCTCTCTGGATAACTGATTAAACTTCTATTTTTCCTAGTTTTCTTCTGGCTGTTGCTTTATTTGTATCTCAGGACAAATGCCTAATCCTAGAGATCTGGACCCCAGAACAACCAATGGTAATTACAACTGAACAGACGAAACTTCTTTTTTTTTTTTTTTTTTAAGAATCAAGAAGAAATCTATTCTCAAAATTTCACCTAGATAATAATTGAAATAGAGTAAAATTGATGTAAAAAAAAGGCGTAAATACTAAACTGTACGACTTCTTAGATACGAAGAAGTGCCATATAAAAAGATCACAGTGGGGCCAGCAGGTGGTGTGGTAGTTAAGGCCTCTCACATGGCTGACTGAGGTTCAAGTCCCAGACCTGGCAGCTTTCTCTTTCTCTCTCTGTCCTCTCTCCCTGTGTGTGTCTCTCTCTGGTGAGCTCATGTGCCCTATAGAAAATTAATAATAATAATAACAAATAAAATAGAATAGAATAAATCATTCTAAAACAGGAAAAAGGCCACAGTGTTGTGTGCATATGGTAATTAGCATATTACTCCTTTTGAGAAGTTGTTTATTACTAACCAGTGAGATATTTTGTCTAACTCGTAGTATTTTCTCTTTTAAATTTGTAATATGAGAAAGAAAACATAAGTCTCTCTTATTTACTGCTGTATCTTTAATACCTAGCTCAGAAGTTGACCCGGGAATAGCGTTCAATAAATCCTGGATGAATAGCAGTGAGACATTTGTCCTTTTTTTTTGGCATTGGTATTCCAAATATTTTGATACCAGATTTCAAATGTTAGCTCTGGAAGACTCCAGAGAGAACACGAAAGTACTCCTAAATTTATTCACATTCATAATAAATCTCAAATTTCCTAACGATGCTCAGATGGGAAAGACACATTTCCTTGTATTCACCCTTTTCGAACTGCAGCCACAGCACCGTGAAGAATGAGGATTTTCTGCTCATCATTAACTTGTTCTCATGGCCCAAACAGCAGTATTAAATTAGGAGATGGTTCTGGCCACACAAATAGCCTTACTGTAATTTCATTTCTAGAGAAACGCCTCGTGCTAAGTGCCAGCTCTGGACCTGGTTCGGAAGTGAAATGTACACCCCCTTTCCCTGAAATCTCAGAAAACCATGAAGTAGGATGAATGCAGCCCAAGGGAAGAGGCTGTGGGAAACCCAGTACTTAATCTGTTTTCTCACTATTGACTACACCTGATTCTTTCTGACTTCAAGGACCTCATTCCTTGGTTTTCCCGGAAAATCTGATAGCTGTTTGTTTGGCTCAGAGTCGTCGTTTACGAAGGAACTTTGGTGATCCGTCTCTTACCTCCTCCAGGCGCTACATCCCTTTCAAATATGCATAGTTTATACCCAAAATGCTCCTCCAGCACTCTGGGCAAAGTCTCCACCGCAAAAGCGTGTTCCTCTCCGTTCTCTGGTCGACATTCTTTTAGGTAAGACACAAAAGCATCATACGTTTTTCCATCTAGGAGATAAGGTTATCTTTTAATTCACGTGCACGTAAAAATCGAAGTACTGGTTTGCACGAGAGTAAATACCTAGTGAGTAGAGAATCACAGAACAGTAAAGCCAAATGTAGTGTCGCCACGCCTCACATGCTGCCCAGCAACCAGTGCCAAAGCAGTTTCAAGCGTCTCCTTTAAGACTTTCACCCTTATACACCATCGAGGGACAGAGGAAAGAGGAAAGATCAGGGCACGGATGGCACTTAAAGGCAGTAGAAGCCGAAGCATCCAAGTGTGCCTCATCCAAGGGGTGGAAAGCAAACCCCGCATGGGCTCCCGCGTATCGCTAACTCCACCACAATTCCCAGTTCTCCCCTCCGAATGGCCCCCTCAAGAGTGAAGATGGGAGGTACCAGGTGATGTTATGTTCTTGAAGAGGATGAATGTGGTGATTTCCTCCGTTTGATTATCGCACACTGCATGTGTACTTTGAGAAACCATGCCGTACCCCAGGATGTGTGCAACAGTTAAATGTAAAAAAATACATCAGTATAAATGATTATTATTGTTATCATTAGAAACAAGCTGAGCATTTACACTGGAGTGTGGGAAGAAGCAACAGAGGTGATTGAAGTGGTCTGCTACAGAAATGCATGCTATGGTCTTTTTAGATACTGTAGAAGATGAGCTGTCGCAAGGAAAATTCCTGATGTACTGAAAGGTTCTCACTGAGTATGTTGTAACATCTGCTCCTGGTTAAGTCCTGATAACGCAGTAGTACTCAGATGACTAAAAATAAGTTAGGATGAAATGCATTACCTAGACCACCCAGATCAATCTCCCAACCGGACAAGTAAGAAATTATGCAATTCTTGGGGCCAGCGGGTGGTGTAGTGGTTAAGGCACTGGACTCCCTTATGGCTAGCCACGGTTTGAGTCCCAGGCCCGGCTGCTTAAACTTGCTCCAGGCACAGATGCATGCATGGCTCAAATTCCAAGAGAACAATGGAGGAGAAGGGATTGCTGCATGGCCATACCCCTTGGGATGGGGGTGATTTCTCACTTTCTCTCTCTCTCTGGCAAGCGCATGCACCCTCTGCAAGAAAAGTCTCTCTAAAAGAAGAAAGAAATTATACAATTCTCTCTTCTAGCTTCATCCAATCTATTTGAGAAGACAAAGCAGACAAACGCAATGACTTGAGAAAAGTTATGATGAACACATGAAATAGCATAGCACATAGAAAACTCACAAGCAACCTGGCCAGCTGACGATATTTGGGATCAGCAGTGGAAGAAGGGGAGTGGCTTACCTTGATCCCACGACAACTGGAAAGGAGAGGAGTTAGATTTATGCTTGGGTATGTTATGGGTATTAATGAATCTGATGGAGTTGAAGATGAGCTCTCACTGGACCCTTAATTAAAAGTAAAAGGATGGACCCCTGCTAGGTTCATGTCTTTGGCAGTGCCCCATCATTCATGCTCAACAGCCACCACCACGGCCCACGTCCAGCATCCTCACCGACGTTCACGATCCCAGTACAACACTTTCTGTTTCTGCCAAACACTTCTTCAGTTCTAGCTAACGTATCCTGGTTCAGCAGTTAAGTCTGAACCGATTATTGACTTAAAACCAGTACTTTGCAGAATTGCATAGAAATGAAGGCAGTAGGAAAGGAGGTCAAAATAAAACCAGCTATTAATTTAATCAGTAAGTAGGTCCCCTAATTCTCCTAGCTGGCTGTTAAATATTGCTATTTGCTAGTTATCACCAGTGCTTTCGTCAGTATTGTCATTATGGCAGTGACAAAATCAGGCACCAAATGTAAAACTACCAAATAAGCACTTTTGAAAGAGACATGGTTTTTGTTCAGTCAGGATGTAACTGATTGCGATAAACCAGAAGTCATTTAGTCAGATATGGATTTATATAGGGAAGTCTTCAAAAAGTTCATGAAAAACAGGTGTTATGAAAAAAAACTGCATGGATTTCAATTTTATTGCACTTTAACTCCTACTTTAATTCCATCTTTCCAGAAACTTTTCAAAATCTACTCTTCTTACATGTGATTGAGCTTTGCTCTTAATCCAGGAAAAATTAGGGTGTTTGTTTTATTCATAGCAGAGACCATGTGCACGAGAGAGAGGGACCCTCTGCAGGATCTGGTCACACCATGGCCTCTTTCCCCTAGCTCTCCAGCTCATTAAGACCCTGGACTCAGGAACATGTGCCCAGCATATTTCAGGTCAGCCGAGCTATGGATCCAAACTAGGGTCAGCAATCTGGCTTCCAGCATGGCCGTCCAGTAGACTATGGACTGTACCACAGAGCCTGGGTTAAATTCATTTTAAAACACTTGTTTTCAAATTCCTCATTTCAAGCAATCCTCTTTTTATAATAAAATATTGCTAATTTACATTACAATTTACTTTAAATCCAGATACTGAGAGGCTAAGTGGCTTTGCCAATGGATGAGGTGCTTGAGATAAGAAATTTGAAAAGAATTTTGTTCAGTATAAGGGAAATAGACTAGTACTCAAACAACGTGTGGTGAATAACCATCTTTTAAGTTCTATATTTATCTATTTATTTATATTTGTTTATTTATTTATTTTATTGCTAGAGAGTGTGCTTGGTTGGCAGAGAAAAACAGAGAGGAAGGAAGAAAGTACTTCTTAATGGAAGATTTTCATGCTGCGATCCCTTCTCCGTTTGTCCATCTTGTGGGGGTTTTAGGCACACATGCACATGTGCCCAGTGTGATTTCAAGCCACTAAGGCTGGGAGCCATGTGGGGTCTGACTCCCTTAATCTCTAGGTTAGGGGGTCAGCCTATATGTGATCATTTAAATTGGTTTTATTTTGTTTTTCGGTTCCTTGGTTAGTTTTATTTCCAATGCTTCATAAACTGATACAAAACACACTCAGATATTGTAGCATTTTCAAATTGCTACAAAAGTTTTTATTTTTGTATTCATCTGTGTCTTCCCTTATATATATATCTGTAAGTCAGGCCAAACACAACTGGAGAAGGAAAAAAAAATCTTAGTTCAAATTCAGAAAGGAATTAGTCCTTACCCCTTCTAAGATACCTATGGGAAGATCTTCAAAAGTGCATGGAAAATGCATCTAAGGAAAAAAAACTATGCATGGATTTCAGAACATTTTTGCACCCAAATAAACTTGTACTTTATTTTCATTTCTGACAAATGTTTTGAAGTCCCCTCATTTGTGGTATGCTGATAGGGACCCTTCGGAAAATACCAAATACAGACTACTCAGCTTGTTGTAGCATCTCACCACAGCAAAACCTTATAGAAATACCGATGCAAAGCTATGTTCATTAACTTTGCTCATTTGACATTATTAAATTAAAAGTTGTAGCTGAGAAAAATGATTCTATCAAAAATCTCAAAGGAGCTATTACGAAAATATCTTTATAACTCAAGGTTAGGAGGGCCATTGTACTTATCACCACAAGCCCAGAAAATCCAGAAATCAATTCAAGAGAAAATACATATTCGAGGACATTTTAAGGTCTTCCACATAACACACCACTATAAGCAAAGTCAACAGAAAAGCTACAACCTAGAAATACCTGCATTTTGTATTACAGACAATAAGCTAACCTCCCTAAAATGTAAATGACTCCTAGAAATAATAAACAAAGAAATAAAAGCCATCAATCCAAAAGATGGATGCGCAAAGGATAAAAGCAAGTGAATGGGTATGTTGAGAAAGCAAAGAAGACTGAATCTCAAACAAATGAGAAATTGACCATCTCTTGGGTCGCAAGTGACATGTAAATTTAAACTCCTCAGACACAACTCCTTACTTATCAGATTGGCAAAAATCCGCGCTGTGTAGGTAAGGTTGGGGGGAAATCGAGCCTCATTGACGGTGACAGATGGTACAGCAGTATGAGAGGTGGATCGGCATGGTCCATCTTTGTGTTCCAGCCATTCCACATTTTTGAGGGATTTTTCCATTGTTTATGCAGCAAACACAGGAAACAGTGGACGTATACAGACATTCATCACGGCATCTCTGTAATAACCAAAGCCTGCAAACAGGCCTGGTTTTAGTTACCAGGAAGAGACTCTGTAAACAGGAGCACTTCCACAGAAATGAAAGTCCGTGCAATCCTAGAGTCTGGGGGACTTCCCGATAGAGAAATGTGGAAGCACAGTTGATAACAGTGTCCACAGTAAGCTGAGGCTACTTTTCCCAAAAGGAGGAGGAATAGGATGAGGATCTGTGGTTCTATTTGATTAGATACGTCAGGAATGAGGAGAGTGGCCGTCACAGACATAGGACAGGCTGGGAGGGGAGCTTCCTACTACATCTTGAATTGTTGGAAAACTCAAGATGCGTTTTTGTACAGAAAAACAGAAAAATATGTCATGACTCTTCTGACAGTCCAGTTTCTTGGACATTTTCCCTAAAAATGTGCACACAGACCCATCTATACAAAAGCAAAAACAAGTGCCATAGATTGATTTTTTTTTAATTCAGTAGTGATCTCAGAACTTCTAGTCACCTGTAAATACAAAGAAACTGAGGCATCATTGTGCGATCATGACAGAAGAAATAAACTGGCAGATCTGGGAGACCAGCAGCGAGATTGTCGGCTTCTAGTTTAAGGCCTCTGTGGGTTCATGCTGTAGCCTCCTCTGCCAGGCTGAAATAATGAACCGTGATACAATTCCATTCGATCTGAAAAACCTTTAGTAAGTGTACACACCACGTAAGTTATGTGGGTGATGTGTGTACGGAAGCATCCGTGTCTACCGTTCCTGGACTCAGTCATTTTATAGGGCATTTAGGAGAAACACATACATGAAGCACATACACATGAAACAATTAAAGGACACTTTTTAGCCACTCAGAAGTAAATACCAGAAAAGGTGACACAAACAACACTCACAATGGGTGGGACGCACAGAGCAATTTTCCCAGGGAAAATCTCTCCCATAGATTAATGTAACAACATAATCAATAAGACCAGCAGATGGCATAATGCTTATATTGCTGTATTTCCACATAGTTGAACACAGTTTGAGTCCTAGACCCGGTGGCTTAAAAGAGGCTGGGTGCATGTGCATGTAGGCCCAAAATCCAGAGAGGAGAATGGAGGAGAATGGATTGCGGTGTGGCCATCCCCCTTGGGGATGATTTCTTACTTTGTCTCTCTGTCTCTCTCTGTCTCTTCAGTGAGCACACAAGCCTTATAGCAAAAATGTCTTCAGAATACAAAATAAAATATAATAATCAAAATAAGAGGAAGCTTAATGTTTTTTTTTAATTTGGTTTCCCCAGGAGAGCGTAAGGTAAGAAATCCCAGCGTTATAATGTGTTACCTGTTAATGTTTCGTCTCTCTCTGTTAAGTTTCTATAGAACAGAACCAAGTCAACTCTATAAAGGACACACAGAACCGTGAGGCACACCACTGCGGCCGAAACCGAAATGGCAGTGATGATCCCTCTCCTGAAGACATGGCTTGGGAGGTCAGCCCGACCTGGAAAGAATGAAAGAGAAAAAGCCATGAAGGAATTGAAGACATGGTACTATCTTCCTCATCACATTGTGGTTGTCAGATTTTACCCATGACCACCAGGAAGCCAGGCATCTCCCCAAGGGCTGGCGTAGTCCATTGAGCTACTCCACGCCCTTGCCTTGAGCCTGCTGCTGTACAAGGAGATTTAGGGACCTGAACAGAAAACACTGTGGAGACCATACTTCCGGGGTGATAAGATACTAGGGCAGGAACCAGGAGCTCAAGCATAAATCTCAGCTAACCCCACTGAGAACAGAACTAGATGAGCAGTTCTAGAGAGAACGAGGCTGAGATGGCCTGGGCTTGTGACCCATCTCCATCAATCCTTTCAGATTGCCAGGAAAATCATGGAAGCTCCTACACCTTGGTATTTGCATCTGTTAAATAATGATAATGACAGTTCCTGCTTCACAAGATTGTTGCTGTTTGGGAGAAGATTACGCATAAAATAGTTACCAAGGCACACAGCTCTCAGAAGAGCACATCTTTGTCTGCCGGTGACTTAGTGAGGCGGATCACAGTTCCTAGGCTGATTCACTTTATGGTCACCTTGGAAAATATGGGAAAACCCAGAAATTCTCTATAAAGAATCAAGTACTTTCTGATAACCATCCCACATGTAGTGATGGTCATGCTAACAGGATAGTATATTTCCTCTGGGTTTTCTTCTGTCCCTGAAAGTTTTTACTTAATTGAGACTGTATAGCAATCATTATTTGTCTTAACATTGCAAGCATTTCTCTAGGTCATTAAAATGATAATTCGTGGGGCCAGCAGGTGGCATGGTGGTTAACGTGCTGGACTCCCACAGGGCAGACTACAGTTTTTTCTTTTTTCTTTTCTTCTCTTTGTTTTTCTTTTGGAGAGGTTTTTGCTATAGGGTGCATGCGCTCGCCAGAAAGACAGAGAGAGAGATACAGAAAGCGAGAAATCACCCCCCAGGAAGGATGGCCATGCCACAGTCCCTTCTCCATTCTCCTTTCGGCATCTTGGGCACGCACGCACACGTGCCTGGAGTAAGTTTAAGCCGCCAGGTCCAGGATTCGAACCATGATCAACTACATGGGAGTTCAGTGACATAGCCATTACGCTAACTGCTGGTCCCTACAGTTTTTGAGTCCTGGACCTGGCACTTAAAACTCTTGCTGGATGTGAGTGCATGTGTGCCCAAAATCCTGAAAGGAGAATAGAAGACAAGGGGTCATGGTGTGGCCATCCCCTCTGGGGGAGTGATTTCTCATTTTCTCTCTGTCTTCCCTGTCTCTTTGGCAAGTACATGCACCCCATAGCAAAAAATCTCTCTTAAAAATTATAATTGATAATATTTCAATATTTAGATCAGTTGCAATGTTTTCTAAGACCACACAATAGTGCAGTGAAAATATGCACACACATATTCATTTTTTAAATTATTTTCTTAGAATAGATTCTAATAGTAAGGGTACTCTTAGGTCAAAGAGTAAAAATATATTGAAGGCTTTTGCCATCTTTTTTTTTTTTTTTTTTTTGAAGGTTTTTCG